CTTGTTTTTAAAAGTTTGTTCGAAACTTTAAAATAAAGTTAGAGGAATAAGAACTCCTAACGCAAATATACTCGTATTGCTTTGCTTACCCACTTACTTTGCTTGCCCACTTACTTTGCTTGCTGTGTTTTATTTCTCAAGAGGCAGTTAGAAAATATTTCTTACTTGACTATTGATTTTCTTATTTAATTTTCCACAAATTTATTGCGAAAACTATAGGGAAATCAGTATCAACTGAACCAAACTTTAATACTTTAATTTTGGAAATATGTATTTATGCATATAAATATATTATATATATATATATATAGATATATATATATATATATATTATATATATATTATATATATAATATATATTATATATATATATATATTATATGTAGTAGTTTTAAAAATTTAATAAGTGCAAACAAACATTTTGCGCCGAGCTTTCGACATTCTCTTCGATGTCTTCTTCAAGGCCTCTGTAGTCTCGGTCTCCCGAGTCCCCAGACAGTAATACACTTATCACTAACCAATTCATTACTGGTACTATGAACAGGGGACGGTTTATTTATACCATCGATGGTGATTTGGTTTTGGTGAAGGTTGGCGTGGGAATTGGCGTGGGAGTTGGTACGAACATTTCTGAAAGTAGGATTGGATTGACTGGTGTAACAGACGATATTTTCTTTATAAAAGTTCTCGTTCAAGAATTATTGAAAAAGGCATGGATTTCTGCCGAAACGTCGAAAAAAATATATAAAAATGTCTTAGTATCAACTAAATTTTTTTTATGAACCTAAGCCCAAGAGAATCCACTAATATATATATATATATATATATATATATATATATATATATATATTTATATATATATATATCTATATAATATATATATATATATATATTTATATAATATATATATATTATATATATAATATATATATATAAATCTTTCCTTTTCAATGAAATAGAAACTTCTTTATTCGGTTTAGTCTCAGATTTCTTAAAGTATCTTTTTTAATCATTGCTCTTAGAAACAGTGTATTTTTCATCAAAACAAAAAGAAGACAAGATGAATGGAAATCTATTTACTACTTTCGCGTTTTCGCTAGAGCAACTTCGTTGCAAGAGAAGCTTAATTTAAAATATCTGTTTCTAAAAATAAATGTTTAGGTTACGAGGATAATTCGAAGAACTTTTGACCAGTCCATTGATGGCAGCGCTATAGATGAAATTAACATTTTTTATGCATAGACTGTTTGTAAAAGTATTTAAATATTTACTGCTTATTGTGAACGAGCTGAAGCTTTATTATTTAATGTAATACATACAAAGAAGGCTAAAAATATAGCTTGTTGGAAAACATCTTTAAAAAGGATACTTAAAATTGTACTAAGTACAACGAAAGATACATTTTATCAATAATAAATAGGTAAATAATTATGATAAGGACTTCATGAGAAATATTCCTGTACCGAAATTTTAATAAAAGCATCTATAGAAAAGGTAACGACAAAACGATAGGCACTTCACGTTCATTTGTAGTCCATATGTAACACCGACTTAATGTAGTCTATTTATTAAGCGTTACAGTGCTTGTAGACTGTCTGCAAAATCAGCGGTGTCGTCTGCGAATCTTATGTTGCTTAAGATTTTTCCATTTATTACACTGTTGTTCTTTTGATATTGCTTCCTTAAAAATAGCTCTGGTGTACATATTAAAAACAATAGGGAAAGCACGCAACCCTGTTTAACACCTCTTTTGATTTCTATAGTTTCTGTATTGACATTTTGGATTCTAACCGTTGCTTTTTGGTTCCAGTACAGATTGACAATAACCCGTATATCTCGACAATCCAATATTTTCTTTTAACAGTTTTAATAACAACGTATTATAAAATAATTAGTTACCAATTAACATATTATACAGATTGAACGAATTTAAAACGGATCATACAATTTAATATATGTCTGTTTGAACTGCATTTGAAATGGTGGACCAATATAAAACTTGGACAAAAATAAATCCATACCTGGGTAATAGACATTGTATAAAATATCGTTCAACTATCTGTCTCGCAACAATGTTACCAATGTTGTAGTAAAGGAAGCGATAATAGTTCAGGAAATGAAGCTCGAAAAAAGTTAAAATTCGCAATTTTTTTCGTCCTGCATGCATTGAGTTGAAATTTTAACAGAAGGTAGGTGATAGCCCAAGGATCAAAAATCTATATCGAACCGAAGTGCGCTGAAGGGTTTTAGGGGTGAAAAAACTACCCTAATTGTCAAAAAAATTATAAAATAAATATTAAACCTGAATATGGCTAAGATTTGGTTTGAATTAGTTAAATAATGATTATTTTATACTTTTAAATAGAGTTTCCAACATATTTCAACCCTTAAAAAGCAACCCTTGTTAGAAATTAATGTTTAAAAATTCTAATTCTAAAAAATGAGTTCGCTTTAAATAGATTTGGATAAAAATTTGGATTTAAGCTTAATTCACCCACTGCTTTATAGTTTATGTCATGTCGACGAACCCTGATTGTTCTTAGGGGTAAAAACTACCCCTAGTTGTCAAAAATTATAAAATAACATATTAAACCTTAATATGGGTAAAATTTGGTTTGAATTAATTAAATAATGATAGTTTCGTGCTTTTGAATAAAGTTGCATCATATTTCAACCCTTAACAAGCGACTCTTGTTAGAGATTAATGTAAAAAAAAGTAGTAATGTGAAGACAATGATTTTTTTCGTCTTGGAACGATTTGGATAAAAATTTGGAATTAATCTCAACTCCCCCTCTTCTTTATAGTTTTTGTCATGCCGATGAACCCTGATTGTTCTTAGGGGTGAAAACTACCCCTAATTTTCAAAAATTGTAAAATAACTTACTTAACAAATCTTAAGATGAGTGAAATTTGGTTTGGATTAGTTAAATAGTGATTTTTTTATACTTTAAAATACAATTTCATACATTTTCAACCCTTAAAAATCAATTGTTATGAGTGCTACAGGTAAAAACAATTTTTTGACAAAATTTTACAACTTTTCAATTTTTGAATATCACCCTTTATAACATTGCAGTTTTTATAAACTAATTTAATAGATATAAATTGAGAAAAGTAGAATTAAATACAAAAAAATGTATCTACATAAAAAAGGCACCATATATTCTTATACATTTACATAAATAGTTGAAAATATTTACATTTATAACAACAACAACAAAAGCTCATCTGGTGCAGGTTGTTTGTTCATGCGTACGGGTAATAACAAACCATCTTTGGAATACCATCCCCAATCTGTTGCTCTGATATTTTCATTGCTAAGCCATAGACATATGAGCAGATGTTTTATTCTGTTGTATGGGATTTCAAAATAAGAACGCTTAAAAATTTCGAATGTATAACGCCCCACTACCTAATATACGGTTTTGTAGATTATTATGCTCCGAAATGTACAGTATTTATACTAATGGAATTTTCCGGAAAAAAAATTAATTGCTTTTTTAACGTATTTCTTTATTTTTAACGATAGAGTGTTTCTTCAAAACGGTTTTGTAGAGGTTTTTAAGAGCGACACAAAGATCTGTGAATTAAATCTTTTTTGAACCCTTGGTTTTTTAAATGGAGTGAGTTTAAAGGGCTCGAAAAAAGATGGTGCTTGATCGTAAATCGATATTTAAACGGCTATATCTCGCAATATATTCATTGTACAACAAATCTAAATAAGAAAATTTTAGTCATTAAAAAGCTACAAGTTAGTACATTTTTATTTTTTCATATATTCAGTATTTTCGGGGATATTTAAAAAAAGAAGGGTAAAAAATATGAAATTGTAAATCGTTTCTCGGTTTATGCTGTACTTTTTCTAAAACTCAGCATTTTAAATGGGTCAAACTTCTTGGACGTATTAACAATACATGTACAAAGAGAACTGCAGAAGGGTGAAGATCGATTTTAATTATGTGGGTGGTTAGGGGGTTGTTTTCATCGATTTTTTCGAAAAAAAATAAGGTATTGAGCTTATTTTTATCATAACTCACTCAATTTTTGAGCTAGAGTTTTTTATAATAGGTCTGTTTATGCTCTTTAAAAAAAGGTTCTGTAAGTTTTCTTCCAAAAATGCATCATTTCCCGATATTTGACTTTGAATCTTTCAAATTTGGCATTTGAAGAAAACCGCTGAACATTGATAGCCCGTATTTCGGTTCCTGTTATATCGTAAAAACATTTTAAAAATGAATTGTATTTGTCTTTTTAAAAACTACAAATTTGTTTTCTACAATTTTTTTTGATAAAATGCACCATTTTCGAGTTATTCGCGAAAATCGATTAAAAACGTGGATTTTTTTTCGTCTAAAAGTTGTTACTTTCAATCGCGAATAACTTGAAAAATATCATTTTATAAAAAAATCATTTTATAAAAAAAATGTATAGCACATTTTTTGTTTATAATCACTTTTTTAATCGAAACCTGTAGTTAAAACGTAAAAAAAATTTTCACCCCGGAGATGGGGTGGCAACCACCCCCTAGGCTTTGGCGCACTTTGGTTTGATATAGATTTTGATTCTTGGCTATTACCTACCTTCTGTTAAAATTTCAAGTCAATCCACGCAGGACGAAAAAATTGCGAGGTGAAAAGCTTCATTTCCTGGACTATAAGTGGTTTGACAGCATAATAAAATCGTAGATTTATGGGTAGCTTTCAATTTTAATGATTTCAGAATCCAGCAGCCCGCTGAAGTATTGGATTTTTTATAATATAATTTTTGACAACCTTTTTTTGGTCAACCACCTACAGTAGAATTGAGCCGAAATACATAATATTTCGTATGTTCCGAATTTATTTCGTTCAATCTGTATAACGATTTTTAAGTAAAAACTATTATATGTATAACTATTAATAATATTAAAAAAAAATTAGAATAATTTATAAAATACCTGTAGTTATATTGCTCTGATTATTACAAGGACTCCATGAATTAACTGAATTTTTCTTTTCAGCTACTACAATATGCTCGCCTGATATCTTAGCCAACAAAGTATGTGTCGAACTTGACCTAGTAGCATCGAGTCTTCAACGTCAGCCTAGCAGATCATCAAAAGTATCGTCTACAGCCCCATCAATAAGTCCAGATGAAGCAATAGCCAAAATTTTGGACTACTCCAAAGACACACCTTTGTCACTTCCGCCAGCGGAAGGGTCATACAAGGAGCGCACTCAACCGGACGGCCACGACGAGAGTATTATTTGTGAAAAAGCTCTTAGTACCGTGGAGGAGGTCAGCGAAACCGAGATGGATTCACCAGAAGTAAGTGAAAAACCATCTCCAGTGAACAGTGAAAATAAAATTGTAGTGCAAAGTAGTGCTAATGTGTGTGATGCCATAAAAAGTGATAATCTAGACGGCATGTTGGATAGTATTAGTCAAGATCTGGATTACTTGTTAAATAAAAGTGACGAAGTGGCGATTTCAACTTTAAAAAGAGTGTCTAAAAGCCATACCAGCACTATAGATACTAGTGAATTACCAGAAAGTGTAACTATTAGGAGTAAGTGTTAGAGTTTTTTAATTATAAACAAATATGAGCTTAATTCAATATAAAGAAAATGCAGTTTTAAAACATATTGTACTTACTGTAGTTGTTCACTGTTGATTAATTTAATTCATAAAGCCGACCAATAATTAATAAAATTGGTGAATCTTCGTAACATTTTAGAAGTTATTGTACGTTGTTAGTAGAATTTGTGGACTTTTGTTAGATTTCATGATTTCGTGGATTTTAAAATATCTAAACTGTTAGCAATATGAGCATGTTTTTTACACAGATGCAAAAATTATACCAGTAAATATTCCAAAATTATTTTAGGATTTTGAAAAATCTTAAAGATATTTTCAAAGTCTGACGGAGTTTGTTTGAATGAAGGTATTAACATTATGTACTGATAATACCTATTTTCAACTAAATATTGAATTATATAAACAAAATTATGGTCTAGCAATGGAATCTAATGAATGCTAGACTCAAACCTTTCCAGAAAATAAACGTAGAAATTCTTTCCATGAACTTAGTCGAGGCCCAGCGCGGCGAAATGCATGGACAGTTTTGTGGAGCACGGTTAGAAACGAGGTAGCGCAAATTCAACCGACTCTACCACCAGCTCATGCACCACCGGTCACACGTGGAAAGGTTTGTCATCAACTTGTCAGCGTACAGTTTTCGTGAATCGTGGAGTGCTTGTTCCACTCCCACTACTCCCTGTTGTTTTACTTTTTTTACTTTTTTTTTGATTCCGAGATGGACATAGAGAATCTGGTTCCTTGAAAACGTTGTCTGTAACTTCTTTAAATAACTCCATGGATTTGTCTTTTTTTTTAAATACTGATTGTTCCTTCTTTTCTTCCCTCTTTTTTATTTTAAATTAAATTGAAGAGCTTTTTTACAAAACTCTATAAATCCATTTCAGACTAAAATACATTTTTTGTTGAATTTCGAGAGTTTGGTCTGCCTTAGATCTTGTGTATAAGTCTCATGTGTTAAAAGTTAACATTTCCCATTTAAAATGAACTTAACAATCACGTTTCTTCCACAAAACTTAATTAATCGACTGAAAGGTAATCTACCTTTAGCCCATGTTCACTTTTTTTTATACAAAACTTAACATCTCTATTCTTTAGCTAACCATTAAAATTAGTTTTTGTTTTACAAAACTGCATAAATCCTCCGGCCTGCAGGACTATCCCTCTACTATTTTTGTTTGGCTTTTAAAGCATCCTCTAGAATTATAATCGTGAAACAAAATATAATATTCGTTAGTTCTAAAACTACTCACGGGTCGCACTGACAGCATTTAAACTGTACTGACAGTGTGTAGTGTAGCCACGCCATGCCACGCTGTATGAGATTATCAGTACTTTTCCATTCGATTACACGAGATGTTGTGAATTCGTTGTATGCCAACGTTGTTTCTGTGATTTGCGTGTTATTTTAAGATGGATAGTGTTGCTAATTTATCGGTGGGTTCTAAAAAAAAAACGATTCATTAAAACAAGTGAGAGAGGGCGTTCAAAAATTATGAAATACAACGATAGTGATCCTCATTTAATGTTTCTAAAACAGAAGACCAGACCATGTGCTCATAATTCGAAAAATCTTCGTTGTGCTACGGTATCCTACGACGATATAAAAATTAATCGACAAGCAGTTTACCTGGCAGAGGGTAAAGAGAAACAAGATCTTGTTTTAATGAAATATATCTCTAAAACAGAGGTTAAATCTTTGTCAGTAGGTATATTTAAAAAACCCTTAAAAAGGCTACATCAAATTAATAAACGTTTTCGGAATAATAATTCCATCATCAGGTTAAAAACCTAAAATAAGTATAAACCATTTAATTAAAGCAAACGTGATTTAAATTTTGACTAAGGTTAAAAAAGCAAAATGGTTATACTTACAGATTAACATGCCTGAGCCACTAAAATATTAGGGTAAAAACCCTGTAAGGTAAATAAGGTTACCAAAGATTGTACATATTGTTGTTAAAAATTATTGATGTTTAATATTTTATTATATTTTACTTCAGTAAGTTAAGAGTAGACCTCTTCAAACGGACTTCAGCTGGTAACTGATTGACAAGATACCTATGAACGGTATCGAAAACAAAACGTCAATGTACCATGGAACAGTGTTCATTGTACATAATATTACTACAGCCAAACATATACAGCAATATGCTAGGAAATGGTTGGCTGATTTCTATTACAGATATGTTAAAATCAGGAGAAATCCCTAATTCATTAAAAAAAGGCCTCCATTATATCCATATTAAAACCAGGAAAGGCAAATAATCAGCCTCAAAACTACCGTCAGATTGCTTTGCTGAGCTGTCTTTATAAACTGTTGGAACGCTTAATCTACAACAGAATTAGTAGAAAAGTATTTGAATTGATACCTATTGAGCAAGCAGGATTCAGACCTAACCGCAGCTGCACAGATCAGATCCTATCCTTAACAACCTATCCTTAACAACACATATTGAAGCTGGTTTTTCAAAGAAAACAAAAAACATGCGTTGCTTTCATTGACCTATCAGCTGCATACGATACTGTCTAGAGACAAGGACTAATCTGCAAGCTAATCCGTGCCGTCCCGTGTCAAAAGGTAACTAAACTTATTGATAACATGCTCACCGACAGACCTTTTTAAGTCACAATAGACAGTTCTAAAAGTTTCCAAATGAAGCTCAGCAATGGACTGCCACAGGGATCTGTTTTGGCACCCTTACTGTTCAATTTATATATCGCGGGACCTACCTAGGACAACTTCGCAGAAATTTGGCTACGCTGACGATTGGGCCATTGCAGCAAAACATAATAAACATGGATATCACAGAAACAATATTAGCGGATGACCTTACCATTATGGGAGAATACTTTCGCAAATTGGAGGCTACGGCCTAATGCAACGAAAACCGAAGTGTGCTGTTTCCATCTGAATAATGCCCAAGCCATCAAAAAACTCTCCATCCACTTCGAAAACAGACTGCTCACTCATAACTCAACACCAAAATATCTTGGAGTGACTCTGGACAGAACATTGCGTTTTAAAGAACATCTTCAAAGAACGACAGCAAAGCTAAAAGCGAGAAATAATATAGTCCAAAAGATATGTGGCACTACATGGGGGTCTTCAGCCTCCGTACTCAGATCATCCGCTCTCGGACTTGTATACTCGGTGGCTGAATATGCTTTCCCGGTATGGCTCAATAACAAAACACACAAAGATTATTGACACTCAATTAAAACCAAAAAATGCGAATGATCTCAGGTACAATTAGACCCACACCGAACTATTGGCTTCCCATTCTGAGTCACATTCCACCGCCGAAAAATTGAGGCTAACCATCAACTACCTATACACCAAGATAAGTTTGATATCGAAACAAACAGACTGCGCTCCAGATATCCTCGATTGCTAAGAGCCAACTCCTTACACCAGGAACATTTTAACCTGACCAAAGCTTGGAGAACACAATTGGAGAGCGGCTCACCACAGGAAGCACATCAAATGGCCTGTATCGATCAGAAACCGCCAGGCTTTGAACTGATCCGCAATACATGGATAACGCTAAACAGAATAAGAACAAGCAACGGTAGATGTGCTGACAGCTTATATAGATGGGGAAAAGCCCTTACTCCTGAGTGTGACTGTGGTGGGCAATGACAGACCGTCCGTCACATTGTTGAAGAATGTCCCCGAAGGCGATTCCGTGGAGTTTTCGATGAGTTCCTGAATGCGACCGAAAATGTTTTACATTATATTAATAATACATTAGATGTTCGTTTGTAATACTTAATGTAACGTTTTATATTGTTTTTTTTTTATTGTGTGTTCTTATTGTATGCCATACGATAAACAAATAATACAGCCAAACGATTCAAAAACTTTAGTGATGTTAAAAATGATAACAGCAATCCAGGTGTTGGGATTTAAAAAGTTTTTTATTATTGAATTTTTGGGTATAAAAGATGTAAAATTACCGACGGAGTTAAAGGTCATGTTTAAGAGAATGACGTATGCATTAGGCAGCCTGTGTTACTCTTTATCGTATGGAGTGTGGTCTAAAAAGTGTAATTTATGACTGATTAGCTTAGATATATGATATTATCGTTTATGTTGATCACATCTAGTGACATAACTAGATGTGATCAATAATAAAAAACTTTTTTAAATCCCAACACCTGGATTGCTGTTATCATTTTTAACATCACTAAAGTTTTTGAATCGTTTGGTGTAGTAATATTATGTATAACAAACACTGCTCCATGGTACATTGACATTTTGTTTTCGACACCGTTCGTAGGTATCTTGTCAATCAGTTACCAGCTGAAGTCCGTTTAAAGAGGTCTACTGTCCGGACGGTGGTACTTACGTAAGGCATGGGTGTACGTTACCTGAAGTAAAATATAATAAAATATTAAACATCAATAATTTTTAACAATATGTATAATCTTTGGCACCCTTATTTACTTTAAAGGGTTTTTACTCTAATATTTTACTGGCACAGACATGTTAACCTGTAAGTATAACCATTTTGCTTTACTTATTTGCCATACTTATTTTAGGCTTTTAACCTGATGATGGAATTAATATTCCGAAAACGTATGTTAATTTGATGTAGCCCTTTTAAGGGTTTTTTAAATATACCTACTTATAAAGATTTAACCTCTTTTTTGTAATACATGGTATACAGTCAGCTGTAGGAATTTATTTATCTTGTGAAATATATCTCTGATCTCGAGCCCCAAAGAAGAACGGAAAGTGGTGCGCCTATCTTCGTAATTCGCAAAAGAACGGTTTCTGTAAAAATTTTTCACAATAGTCAGAAACAGAAACGGATGATTCCTGTCTGTTAAAAGTTTTTTTGCTTTCTCAACGGGTGTACTTGCCTATCAAGATTGGAAAGGTCGTCAATCAAGGTCTACTGCCCAAAGAAAATAGAGGTGTTATCGACGAGAAGCTTTTTTCAGAGCCAAAAAGGAAGCAGTCCGTCAATTTCTTG